AAAGTGTTTTCTGTTGACATATTGGTTCACTCTGAAATAATGAAATTACTTTAGAGTAGCTAAATAATACAAATCTTACCCATGCCAGGGACTTCTGTGAATGGAGTAATACAACTTTGTTCACTTTGCTGCCGCTTCCCTCATTGAGTTGTCTGTAACAGCAGCCTGCCATTAGTACACCTTTAATGTTTTGCCTGTAGTCATCATTTGGCAGTAAGGAAGGCCCACGTGTGTGTGGGGGGAGTGGTTCTTGTGATGATTTTCTTTGAAGGGTGGAGGGTATCGTATTGGAAAAACGTGATATGGCCAAAAGTGAAACAGAAGTGGTTCCAGTTGTCAGGGGGACCATACTCCCATAGCTTCTGCTTATTTTGGGTTTTCTCCAGCTTCCTTCCACTGAATCAGAAACCCCACAGGGAAACTGGGAGGGGGTTCAGTCCTGTGAAGCAGCTTTGCGTTGGGTGCGTTGGTTTGAACTCAATACATGGATTTTTGTTGTTTGCCCAGCTCTCTGCATTACTTTATAACTAACAACCTTTTAGAGGGACACCATATAGCAAGAGGAAACAGATCTGGTTACTGAATAGAGTAATTAGTAGAAAATAAGATGTGAACAACTTTGGTAATTAACTAAAATGATTGCTTTTCAAAATAAATTGGAAGTGAAGCAATGAGTTTCTCTTAAGGTACCTCATTCCTGTCTCAAGGGTGAAAATTGCTGTGGTGCACGGACAGGTTTCCTGCTCTATATATGACTCCTTATTTCGGGTTTTGTTTTGTTTTTTCCTCTCTCTTAAGCCTTTCAGCTGCATAGATCCACTTTCAGTTATGATAACATTAGAGCAAGGGGACAATAATTGGTCATAGTTTTGTTTATCCTAAGTTGGCACGTCCAGGAATCTCTCTATCTTTTTCACACCAAAAAAAGAAGAAAGGGATTTGCCAGTAAGCTGCTGCAGCTTGAGAAGAGTTTCATCCCATTGGTGGTGTGGAGGCAAATTAATCCTTCTCAATAGAAAATACCAAATATCTTTCTGCACCAAGGAGGATAAATATTCATTGGCCTTATTTTTTGTGACAATTAAGGATTGTAAGTGTTAACCACAGAAGGAAATAAAAGGTGGTGCTTGAGTTCAGTTTTGTAGTGAAAATATTTCATTAAAAAAGCGATGAAGGGGCTGCACAGAGGGAGTAGATGGGGCTGTGGCTTTAGAAGGGGAGAGGCTTTTGGTCAAAGCTTTTGAGTTTCCCGACACATTTCTCTAAGTGTTGTCAGCAGTGTTAGTCGCTGTGGTGGAGATTTGCCAGCCAAGTCTGCACATGTCATTCTAAACTTCAGTATTTTTTGTTTCTGAATCTCCCTATTAAATATAAAATTGTCACTTAATTTGTGTTTTGTAACTTGAGTATCACGTTAAGCAAATAGGATCTCTAGGCTTCAGTTAAGTTTTCCTTGTTTTCTTTGGTTGAACTCTGTTCTTGATTGCAGGTAGAATGGAAGGCTGACTCTAGATTGGCCTAGAAATAGCTTATTTTGAGTAGGTAAAACTGTTAATCAATTCACTTTTCTCTTCCATCATACTTAGTGCTGTGGACCTAAAGCCATTCAAAGAGTTGGTTGTAGCAGCTAAGCTGTGGTGCCTTATGTTTTGTTTCCCTGAAGTCTGGGTAACAGCTGTCAAGGTATTTCTTTCATTGAAGTCTACAGTGTTGCAAATATCCAATGTAAATTGTGTGACCCGAAGCTCTGTTGTGAAGGGGCTGGCAAAGAGGAAATGCTGTTCTTAAATAGTGTCACAATAAATTGTAATACATTTCATTGCTTTCTACCTCACAGGGTAACTGTAAATGTTAGTAAGTGAATAAAAGTGTCAAAATAACCTTTTAAAGAGTTGTGGCATTGCTTGTATGGTACCGTTTTAAGGACTGAAGAAGGAAACAGATACGTTTAGTCCTAAAGATTCATTTTCTAGGGTGTCTGTATCCAGTATGGAACTGCTCACTGCAGTTTCATAATGGAGACAGGTCAGCTTTTCAGTGTGAAGATGGTATTCAACCATAGGCATCTCCAGCCATGCTCATCCAAAAAACGAGCACATTGGTTTAAAGTATAATAAACTCTGTTTTGTAGAGAGTACTTGGGGGATGGCAAGAGGGATCCTTAGAGGATAAGTTATAAACCAAACTGGTCTGTAGGATGCAAGCGCTCTGTTTTGAAGAAGTGAGATAAAGGAGGTAAATAAAGTTGGTAGATAAATATAGTTCTAATGGGCAAAAATGAGTGTGCAGTATTGATCACTGTTTCCCTTTAAAGTATAACAAAAATAATAACCATACTGGATTATATAAAAACATCCTGGATTGTATAAAGCCAATATCTTGAGCTTAAACTGCTGGCAGTGTGGTTGTTGTACAGTGAAGGTACCTGCAGGGCTCAAGTTCATCCAAAGAGATGAATCTTTCACTTGGAGAACACGTTGCTTTTAATGTGTAAATGTGCTGAAGCAGCAGTGTTACATATACTAAACATTTAGATATTTCTATTTTATGCTCTTAGTTGAAGAAATAGGGCTGTCTCAGCTGTATTTGTTTGAAGTTTTTTAGTCACACTGGTGAGAGATTTGGATGTGCTTTGTAGGGAATTAGTGGGTACTGACTCTTTGACAGGTTCTCCCTCTTATTCCCATGGTAGCACGTTGCTGTCATCACTCTTCCTCTAACATTCAGTTATTTTGGATGGGATCTTTTTATGTCCCCTACTTCAGAACGAAGTACAAGTTAAAATAAAGTACAAGTCAAAACCATAAGAAAAGGTGAAAAACAGACAAAGTTGTATTGGTGTTTGAGGTACTAAATCTGTCTTTAAAAATGCTTTTTCAGGTTTAAGAAAGCCATTTAATTAGACCAACTTTCCTATAAAAGTCTTCAGAGTGTGTTTAAACAGAGCTGTTTCAGGAGTTAAAATCTGTGTTTTCCTTAAGTTCATGTTCAGCAGAAAGATACCTTTTTGTTTTCCCCTAATTTCAAAAATTACAAAGCTGATGTGTCTCTTTCCAAGCTCTCCTGTTTGATGAGTGACAGTGATACTGTTAAGACTGTTCTGTCTGAAAGCTGTGTTATGCTTGAAGGCTTTTTATAGTGAAGTGAGTACTAACACTTATTGTCAGATTTTCCTTGGGATCCCTTTGTAATCTTACTAGCAGTGTTACAAGAACTGTGAATCTGAATTACTCATCTGCACTGCTCAGTGGGCTCTGGAGCCAAAAGATGGTTTGAATTTTGGTTGCTGTGTCCTTCTTTTTCGGAAAGCTAAACCTTATTTACCCAGTCATTACTTAGGCTGCTGCAGACCTGCGTGGCTTCTCTACAAGTTATTTAATCCTGGTTTGGAAGAGTGTCTGGGTTTGTTTTATTTTGGGGAACTATAAGTTGGTTGA